AAAAAAAACACAGTGCAATGCAAGAGAATTGAAAGCAAGTGGCATCCAGGATTAACGGGTGTCAAATAAGGGAGAATTGCAAGGGGAGGGTGAACCATGGTGAGTGCTCCAAGTCCTACAGGTGGTCAGAGATATATGTAAAAGTATTGACGCAAAAAAACTGCCGAAATTTGTGGGTCCAATAATATTAGGATATCGTCATCGCTTTACGCAATTTTCTGCGTCGGCGTAGCCGAAGTGGCTCCGTGGGTGGGGGTGGGACCATGCCAGGATACAAACTGCGACTTCCTCGGGACGGATATCCGCAAGAAGACACCGTCAAACTCTGCACGGACTTGAGTCAGGTCAGCGTCATACCCAAACGATATTCTTCGCTCGAAATGACCGCCTCCGACTTCCCAACTATCGGCAACCAGGTGTAGAATTCTCCGCCGCCTCGTGGACAGGGTTCTGGATAAAAAGGGGACAAGGACAAAAAAAAGAAGCAAAACAAAATTAAGCAGTTGATCCACGCTGCATCGGAAATGAAATGGGACGTACATTGAATCGCGGTTGTAGCCAGGAAGTCGAACGACAAGAACATACTCCTTTTCAGCGGTCTCGACAACGATGTATGTGTCTTGTGGTGATGAATCATGAGAGAGAAATGAATTATGAGTTGCTTTTGGCTTCTCCTGCGAAGAAGAAACCGGCGGAGGTGAGGGGGTATGTACAGTGGGCGGTGAAGGAGGAGGGATAGAGGATCCGCTCGATCCACTCGACCCAGATAGACGTCCTTCCATAGTTCTAGATGACAGCGTCGCCTCCAATTGATTCGAAGCTGGATGTCTTGGGCGCGCTGGGGGAGGATGTGATATAGATTTAGATGGCTGCGGCCTAGGTGAACGAGATTTTGGCGGTGACAATGGCCTAATAGATGGCGGAGGAGATGGTTCTGGTGGAGGAATTCTTACCGAATCCCAGTCAAAATCACGCCTGTTCGAAGTGGGGCCGAAACCATTGCGTGGCAAGTGGGACTGCGGGTATGGAGGCATGGAAGAGATGGACTTGAGCGGTGTCTGCGAGGGGAGGGGGAGGGAGGTTGTGGAAGACGTCTGTGTATTAAGATTTGGACGTAATGGGACTGGTGCTTGTAGGGTTGGAAAACTCGGGGGCTTTTCGATAACGGGTTCTTCATTCACAGTGAGAGCAGACTCGTCTGAATAGCCTCTGTGTAGAGGTGGATTCGAGTGTTCCAACTGATTGGAGTGCTCCGCTGGGTTAGATAGCTCGGGTGGGGCAGGCTGCTGCTGATGATGGGCGGACGATGAAGACGAGGCTGAAGCGGCTGGGGGAATGGTTGGAAATGGATACTGTCCTGGATAAGGGTATGGCAGAGGGACCTCCCTGGGGGTGTCGAAAGACGCGTGTCGTTTTGAGAAGGAGAGCTCACGGGCAGGGTGCAGGGGACGAGGCGGGTGTGGTTGTGAAGGGAGCGGCGAAGGTGGGGAAGCAGGATCGTCGTCGGAGAAGGGAGACAAGTCCTGGTCCGGAAAAGACATGTTGAGCTGGGCAGATTGCGAACGGTGCGCGTCAGACTGGCCGGAACGAGGCTTGCCGCTGAGATTGCCATCAAAATGACCCTCCTGCGAATTCTCAGGCCCCGGGAATTGCGCGCGGTCGTCAGCGATCGAGGTTGTCGAGGACGTCGAGGACGTCGATGCCGAGGACGCAGACGACAGCGGCGGAGTGTCGACCTCATCGTCGACGGCGGGCAGTGTTCCATTGCCCTGCATGGTAGCGAAAAGAAAGATGGGTGGGCTGCGTTGGCGAGCTGCTCAGTGGAGTAGAGACAGTCACGTGGCTTATTGTGACTTCATTGGAGTGACGGCAACCACGGCAGATAAGCGCTCCACTCGGCTAATCACTTGCACCCCGTCGGTCCTGTTTCAGAGTCGATCACCTTTTGCAAAAATATTCCTCTATAATAAGCTACGCTCGAGTCAGATCAAATTCTCCCGTTCCGTGCCGCACTCTCGACCGTCATGTACTTTTAGCCTTGTTTTTCCCCGTTCCCAACACCTTCTTCCGCTGTTTAATCATGTAAGTATACATGATGTACAACCCTGCATTTCATTAGTCCCGGTCCTCGAAGCGGACACAGACAACGCACCTGGCCACCAAATCAAGAACAATGCACCCCGAGTATAATCAGCCAAACTCCAGTTCTTCCCTATCCACCTTCGAGTGATGGGGCTGGTGCCCGGGAGTGTGGAGTAGTTCAAGAACGCCTCTGACCCTGCTCCAAGAGGATATAGCACATAAAATGTTGTGTACCGAAGCCACAGAAGCGGATAGGGTTCGATCCCAACCAGTGATAGCGCATAGAATGAGTAACGTATTATTTCAGTCGGAGACCAAGCTAGCAGCAGCGTCGCGAAGAGCGCATTGGAGCGAGCCTGCGGGCACGCCACATATTAGCGATGGTCGCACTATCACTTCAACAATGGCTCCAGCGAGCCAAGCCGAAATCACTCACAGATTCATAATGCTCCGCAACCACCCAGACCAAGTACAAGCGACTGGCCACCTGCATCGCAGTTGTCTGTACTGGGCTCCTCACAAACCCAAGCAACGAATGCACAACCTCCAACACCGCGAACGTCTGAACCCACGTCGTCTGAGGCCCCACAGCTCCATAAAGTGTACGTGCTCGATTGTACAACGGTACGAGAGCCCGAGGGATATGCGTTTGAATCTGCGCGGCAATTGGAGCGGTCTTCTTGAAGTACGGCACCCAAGTAGCGAACTTCGAGACATATGAGCTCGCGGTCTCATGCGGTGCTGACCCCGAGCTCTCCGTATAGCCTGATAGATGCAACGCTGTAACGACGAAGATGTAAGTCCATCCGAGTGCGGAGAGTGTGTTGTATGCGATCAGATAATTTTTGACACCCGGCGAAGGGCCTCGAGCTGCATTACCGTGATGAGATTTAATAGCGCATTGATATAATTGCCCAACCAACATTTTCCGAGCGTTCGTGGAGTGTTTGAGCTTTTCGAAGACATGACGGAGAACGAGCTTAGCTTGGGGCTTACGTAAAGCGAGGAGGCACGAGATTTACACTCGATTGATCGACTGGAACGTGAAATTGTGAAAGCCGCATGAATTTACATGTGTTTTTAAACTATGTGAAAGTGTCGATGTACAGAAAAATAGTATACAAATCTTCATTCTTCAGCTCACTTTGATATTCGTACAATTCCTTGGACACATTCTCATTTCATCAAGCCCGAAGTGTCCAAGTAAAGTTCTGCTAGACAGTGCTAGCACAAGCGCTCGGTGGATCACAGCTTGGCCTTCAAACCATGGTCGAATCCTGACTTGTGGGGGATGACATGATTAGCAGGACCACCTTTGCCGAACATTTGGCGTATATCGTCGACCAAGATAGTTGGCTTTTCATGCGCAGCGAAATGCCCCCCAGACGCGTGCGTGGATTCAAACACGACATTCCCCAACGTGCGAGCCCAGCTGAGGAAAGAAGATCAGCGATGATAAGACGAGAACTGCGCGGGAATTCTTACGACCGTGGAGTCACGACCAATTCTCGAGGGAAATACGAGAAACCCAGAGGAATATTGTTGATCGGCTTTGTTATGATATCCCGTTCCTTGGCTGTCTCAACTTCGTAATAGATTCTAGTCGTCGCAGCAGGTCCAGCCCGAGAGAACCAGTAAATCGATACCCAAGTCAAGACTGTTGCAACTCGTCAGCAGTGAGTGGCCGAAACAAGGCTTAGTGATATTCACTTTCGTCATCAGTCCAGCGATAATCATCCGTCCAATTTCTGAGCTTCTCGTAGATCCATGCAAGGAGTCCGGCTGGAGAATCGGATAGTGAGTATCCGAGCGTCTGAGGCTGAGTAGACTGTTGTTGGCGATAGCCAAATCCAGGCCCGAGGAACCAAGCTGAACGAGCGAATCCTGCCTTTTCGGCTTCTGAGTAGGGAACCAGGGCATGTTGGAGAAACAAAACCGGATTATGAATGAATTTGGGAGGCGATCCACTGTGTCTGAACATAAGAAAAGTCCCAGGATGGACCGTTTATGATTGCTAGGCTTACCGAGGCATGTTTGAATGTACTGCCCTGCAATTTTTCGAGAACTTGTGACCGAGAGCCCGTGTTATCTAACATGAGTTCATGAAGAATAATCGGCATCGTCTCCTGGAGGAAATTTACATAGTAACCCCAATCTCCTCCTTGCGCCACTGCACGAGAAATTGAATTCACATTGTTCGAAGGAGGTAGGGTGTACTTTACCATACTCGGTGTATCCAAGCTCGATCATCAACTTGTTACAGACCTCTGCATATTGGAATAATCCAAAGCCCTTCTGTTTCGGGGCTTCTGAGAAGCCGTATCCGGGAAGGCTTAGAGCGACCACATGAAAGCTGGGATATTGCTTCGAAGCCGCAGTCAACAATGGAAGAATTTTGGTAACTTCAAGAAAGCTCCCCGGCCCTACAGTGTCATTATGAGCGCGCGAGATGCGGTGCATGTTCATCTCATGAAAGACTCGCATCCATGAACGAACAACAGCGGAATAGCATTCTGAACAGAACTCTTTTGATGAACGAAGTGGATGTTCAAGGTTCCGAAGCCATCGACGGAAATATCCTTGGTGAATTGGGGTAATGTATCGTTGATATGCTTCTCATGTTCCCGCCAACTGTAGCCGCTTTTCCAATACGCTACAAGGCGTTGCACATCCTTCAATGGAGAGCCATAAGCCCAGCCAGCATCCTCCAGCTCATCAGGAAAGCGAATGAGGTCTAGTTTGACTTTGAGCTCATGAATTTGGCTCTCTGATACGGAAATTTTGAATGCTTGATCAGTGTTCGAAGTAGCCATCAAGAGAGTGATCGGCCAATGACGCGCTGACAGTGGAACTTGAAGATCACAGCACGTTTACACGGAACATCCTCATATAGTCCTGAAGACATGATTGTAGAACCGGTCTATGTCGATTAGTGGTTAAATCACCTCGTTGTGGTCGCTTGCGATTCCGAGGAGCCCTGTGTTCGACTCACAGCATGGACACTTTTTTCTCATTGCCCCTCTCGGAGTAATGACGTAGCGCCGATCGTTCTAGGCATCTAGACCGGCGCACGCAGCGGCGAGGCCCAAAGCCTTGCTTGTTCTTTCCCTTCACTCCGTCGTCATGCGTCGAGTTGGATACTTGTTTTCGTTTCTCGCTGTTGTCGGTGCGCTTGTATTGGTGTGCTTTCCAATAATGTCATATCTGCAACATCGTCTCATCCTATGCTGCCCAGACCGTCATCTCACAAACCGAACCCTATTGGTAAGTGTCACCTTTTGAACAGAGCGTTTCCGACTGATAATGGACTAGGCTGCATGTCAAAACACCTTCCGGACTTCCTGCCACGATCTCTGTAGGGTATGGCCTTTATCAGCGATGCGAACGCCAGACAATGTCGGACCTTCCTCCTTGGACTTCACCGAAGAAAGGAAATGGGCGATATGAGAACTACGAGTGCCATCGCTTTCCTGGAAGGTCTGAATGTGACCACGATAACGGAGCCTTTTGTGCTCTCTGGGACACGGCAGGATATGCCTCTCAGATCAGTCTGGGCTTCATCGTTGCGGCGCTCCTAGCTTTGACTGTTGGTGGGATGACTCGTGAACGGAGACGAAGCCAATGGAAATTTGTTGCTGCGCTAATGTTTTGCCACTGTATGTTATTATGTCCTATTCTAAATGGCTCATTGACACAAAACTGATTCTCGCTGCTAGCCGTGCTTCAAATTCTAACTATGTCGCTCGTGGTCCATCTCTGGCGAACATGGGACTATCCTCCTTTTGAATATACCAATCTGAGTGCGTCGCGGTCATGCCACTGCTCCTTCGGATTGTGCATTGATCTTCATCCCCAGGCGTATCCTTCTATCTCAACCTAGCATCCTGGGCTTTCTCTCTAGTCATCGTCGGGGCCCTAATCATCACTGGTATAGCTGCAGACGCAGGTCACAAGTGGGCAGCAGGAAACAGGGCATATCGACCTATCGGCGGTTGAATTAACTGTTGACTTTTTCCACTGTACGACCACTGTACGACCACTGGCAGCATTGTTATGTGATATATCTATCTGTACAATTAATCAAGTATCGACATCGGGATAGTCTACGATATCATATGGGCGTAATGTCTCGTTCCAATCTCTCTTTCGTCTCCTTCTCAACGAAAAATATCGAGCGCCGCTGTCCCAAGTGCCTCTGACTTGCCCTTTCTGACGCTTTCCAACGACTCTGAAATGAGTCGCCGGGTCATCTGGAAGTCCTAGACTAGCCGCGAGTTGCATAACACGGTCATACAATTTGCTTCGCATTTGTATTGCTCGAGCCAAAGGAGACTTTCCAATCCAAAGCAGTGAAAACAGAGCCCTCAAGGCTCTATAAGCCGCCATGGCGTCCTCCAGCCATCGAAGGGTAGCCCACATCAAGCAGGGTACCCACACAGCCGTGAACAAAGCTAGTGGCGGGAAAACAAGGAGGCATGAAGTCCAGACGAGCAATCCAGCGCCAAGGCCATGGACCAGTTTTGCTTGTGTTATTTCGTCCCATGTATTCCAAGCAGGGCCGGAATTCTTCACACGATTCACAGCATGCCGAGTCGCGATGAAGATTGGAATCCACAAAATGAGTCCTGGGAGGGAGATAGTGGAAAGGCAAACAAGCCAGAATGTACGAATCGCGACACGATATAGAATGACGATCCGGGATAAAGGTTCGCGGACGCGTTCATCCGTCAGACCGAGTTGAGTCAAAAGGTTCTGATAGTGCTGGGCGAAGTCAGAGAATAATTTGCACAGGTCGGCGTAAGCTCATACCCGCAGTGCACTCGCAAGATCTAAATTTTCGTCATCCGTTTCTGCATCGGTCGGCTGATCTTCTTCTGGGGCTTGGTCAGTGGCATATTTTAGTTGTACATCTTCGGTTAATACGCTGGGGGCATGTTCTTTGTGTCCGCGCTGTGTGGCCGCAAAGGCACTGACAAATGTGCGAACGACGCGAACGTAGTCACCCAGACTCATCAATGTGCCTAATGGCGCATATAGCTTAGCCGCAGTCTTGGATACTTTGACAACGTCCCAAGACGGCGCGTCAATAGTACCCATGCTGATTTGACTCTGCATCGAAGTCGTAAGCTGTCGAATGGCATCATAATCAACCGGTGCGAGAAGCTTGGGATGATCCTATATGGAGGCTTAGCGCCAGTGATGCAATGATGTCCACAAAAAGACACTAACACGGGCTCGCAGTTTCATAGGAGGATGGAAAGTGACAAGAACATCGGATCGGAAATGTTCACGATGCCTGCCATGGTCTTGAGTACAAGACGGCCACGTAGGAAACAGACACTTACATATAAGTAATAGAACAAGTAAGCAGCGATATCTCAAAATCCGGATTATGACGATTGCGAGTCAGAACGTCCGAAACGATGCGCGCAGCTGCGAACATTGTCGAGTCAGAAGAAGGCCAGAACAGAATTTGGCTTCAGCACCTCCCGTCTTCAATGGAGCCAACTGGGGATGATAACGACTCAGTCCTTCGGGAAATAAGCAAATCATATCGCCGCCTTCAAGGGCCTGGATACAGCGATGAACGGATGCAAGAGACATAGTGTTATTCATTGAGCCAGGCTTACAGATTTGAGCTTCTCCATAACATGAGAGTTATCGACGGCTTTCCCGCCATGATCTTTCGCTCTCTTCATCGGTAAGGCCCCACTCGCCTCGATTAGCCAGCTCGAGAATGTTCGTTTACCGAAGAGAGTGTCCTTCGCCGTGAGACGCAGTTGATGCCGAGTCTGTTCATACGCATTGTAGGAACGAAGATGAAGACAATATTTTTTCTCTCCCCTTATTTGGGATGGAAGTCACCAGAACCCTGTTAGAAAGGAATTAGCACGGTCGCCAAAATCGCTGAGAGCGCCCAAGTCAGGCTACTCACAATGGGTCAGTTAGGCTATTCCCATGATTGCAACACAACACGCTGATCTGACATTAGCGCTAATCCGAGCATTCATTTTTGTCGTACCATGGGTGGCCATTAGGCGGTATATAATGCTGGTTTTCGACTACGATGGATCCATAGAACACGGTGAGAACAAACTTGAAGAGAGATCTTGATTCGGAACGCAGTTAGAGCACAAGCCTCGTTCGTAGCCCTTGTATTCTGACCTTATGAGGAAATATACGACAGGCATAGCTTGGTGCTCGATGAGGCCGAAGGAGCTCCCGGAGACCACGCTTCGACCAACTGCCTGCCAGGGCGCGGTTGAAGAGACTCGCGGATGATGACGCTCGATCGGCTATTGTAGTGCTGAACTTGACCGGCTTGACCATTAACTGAACCAAGTCTCGTTATTTTACTTGTCTCGCCGGTTGGGCTTCGCTTTCGAGAGGTCCGCGACATGTCTTCAGTACCCCAGGACAATAGCTCAGATTCAGGCGGGAGCCTGAGTTGCTGTGACGATTATATCAAGGTCCATGGGTAGCGAAAACAAGTCGGATTATCAATAGATGAGCGATAATATTGTACGAGGAAAGCGAGGATAGAACACGCGGATGAGATGTCATAAACAACGAAAGAACGAGATCAGTAGCAGAGGATGAAACGGCTTTATTTTTTCCCGACGATGCTGATTTTAGAACCACCTTTGCGTCGTTTTGCCGTCTGCCCGAGGGGTAAGTAGGCGTACGGATCTGTGCCACCACGTTTGACATCCCCTCCAGCATTCTAAAAACGTCATAAGCTCAACGACCACAGGTTATTATACGATAGACATACCTTTGCCTTGAACTCCTTGCCAATTTTTGTAACCTTCTGTTTCTTGGACTTCTGGAGACTGCGATTTGAAGTACTAGCATCGGCCATGTCAACGTCACTGTCGGCATCCTCGTTGGCTCTTCGTCGCTTTTTCGTGTCTTTATTGAATTTCACACGTCCGTTGGGCCCACGAGTGAATCCATCAACAGAAGTGAGCGATTCACGGTATGCATTGCCTTCGATGTCGCGGGAAGCTGCGATATCTTCGGCATCTGAATCGTCTTCGTCAACAATCATTTTCCCGGCGTCATCGGTCTTGAATTTGGATGCATCACGACCGGGCTTTCGTTGGCGTTTTGAGGAGGCAGCTATGATGGATTGTCAAAAAATGGACATTTTCGGTTTGACAAGAGAGAATTGAACTCACAGGCGATGTGGTCGCCTGCTCCTTTGAGGAGATCCAATGGCAGGTCACCATCTGCTTTCAAACGTGTGCCACCCTTTTGCTTGGAAGGTTTATTGACGGCAGCCGTATCCTCCATTTCACTGTCCTCTGAATCCTCCTCTTCAGAGCCATACAGAACATCTTCGAACGCATCACCAGTTCCAGATGGTCGAGGCGCATCCTATGCCGTGGTTAGAAAGTACCAACTGGAATGTCGAACTGAAGCTTACAGGTTCCTCTTCGTCACCCTCGGCCCTTTGTTTCGCTTTCTTCTTCTTGGACTGTTCTTTACGTTTCTTCACACTCAGAAGAACTTTGCCGCGCTCCTGATCATCAGGTCCGACACACGCGTACACAGCATCAAAACCAAACCGTCTGATTAAGCGTTCGAATATATGTCGAACTTTAATCTTGAAGTGGTTCTTGTGATCATGTGACCAGCCTAAGAGCGGGGGGACAAGGTTTGGGAGTTGTGCCTGGACCAGAGGTATGGGCAGAGTATGGATGGCAAGCTTGACGAAGCCAAGAGTAGACTTGACAATCTCTCGATTAGCGGATGTGAGGAGAACAATTAGAGTTTGCAGTATTTCAGTCAGTGTAGTGTCAGATACATCGCCTGCATACAGTTTGAGTTGGTATCATGGCAAGCCACCAAAAAAAAATAATCTTACGATGAAATTCGAAGACGACACGACCGATCGCGGTTATAGATGCACTGATCATGTGTGGACTGGCACCCGCGAGACCTGCGGCCACCATGGTAATGTATTCCTCAATACTTGCTTGTCCTAACGATATATTAG